TGGCGTCATTCTGGCGTCAGCAAAGGCCGAAATCCGCCATGTTTTTGCGGACACTTTTTGATGCCGAGCACGTCCTCCAGTAATATAGTATAGCTCAGTGGGCCAGAGCCACTCAACGATGGCTCTGGGTACGAGATTGCTGGGGACGAGGTTGAGTCGAATCTAGACGCAGACCCCGGCGCGTAAATGGCGGCCAATACGGAATTTCATGATTTAGCTGCTAATTCAAATGAAAACCAGCCTCGTCCAGAAAAGCGGCAAAAACTTGATGAAAACATACCTGGTCAGTGTAAAGAAAAACTGTCAGATAGTAAAGAAAGCGAGAAATCATTAGACATACAAAATACAGCTGAAAATCCTCGCAAATCTGGAGTTAATAAAGGCACGAGAACGCATCGTTTAGAATGTGATGTAGGTATCACACAATACTGCAGTACACATGAAGGTTTCTCTGGCATATTAAAGCAGAGATACTCAGATTTTCTTGTTAATGAAATAAACCTTGATGGAAAGACTGTTCATTTGACAAGTACAGAATTACCTGAAGTATTTGTTCAAGAAGAAATTGAGAATTCAGTTCTACCTTCTGAAATGCTTCAAAAACTGCAAGACTTCGTCAATAGTGAAGATACCACATCCAAGCTAGTGGTTGCTACAGAAGATGACAAGGAACAGAGAACACTGATACATCGAGAGATCAGACAAAAGTTTCCAATCTTAGGTAATTTAATACTCAAATTATATGCACCTAAGATTTAAAAAAAATAATAGTAAACATTAAGTAGAAAGCATCAAAACTGCATGCCCAATATCTCAGTTGCGTGATACAAACTTTCCACACTGGAAACGTTTGGGGTCCATAAACCTATTGGTGTATAATTTGAGTATTTAATTAGCAGTGCGCCAAGATGGGGTGGGGCGGGCAAGTTGCCCTGGGCTACCAGTGCAAAAAGGGCCCCCAAAGCAACAAAGACCTAACAAGAATATACATCCTGAGCCATTATGATGTTGTTATGATGTTGTAGGGCCCGCTGGGAAACTTTTGCCCAGGGCCCCCTACGACCTGTCAGAGGCCAGTAGGACCATGCCCTGGTGAACTTGATTATCTTGAACTTAATCCCATTTCCCATGGTTTTGCCCATACTATGTACAGTATATTTCAATCATTTTTACTTGGCTATACTATGCAACGCTACCTTTTCGGGAGACCTATGCCACTATTTTGAGCCCAGCTACAGTAGTGGTACATATAAATTATGTAAAATAATATTATTTTATGAGGTTATGCAATAACAAAGGTTAACAGCTAGGGAACCAAGCCTCATTACGTCAGCACATCACATGACCGAAAAGAGGGCCAAGCGCGTATGTAATAAGAGCTTGACCGCGCATTGGTGGTATTGGTAATCATTGTGCACTATAAGCATAGAAAACGTATCAGAAACAAAGTTTTTTTCCTCCTCTTCTTTCATATTTCCACCAATTGTTAATTGGTGTGAAGGTCTTGCCCGGTGTGGATATACACTCAGAGTAATATCACAAGCGTCATATTCACCTGAGTACATTACACCAACACAGAAAAATTCATGATTATTATTAGATAACATTGATATCGAAGGAACTAGATTCTGTTCCGAAATATCACATACTCGAACCGACCAGACCGCGTAGCTCAGTTGGCAGAGCATTGGGCTAGTATTTCAAAGGTCGTAGGTTCGAATCCCACCGTGGTCAGGCATATTTTTCAAGCTTGCCCGGTGTGGATATACACTCAGAGTAACATCACAAGCATCATATTCACCTGAGTACATTACACCAACACAGAAAAATTCATGGTGTGAAGGTGTTGACCCTGCGGGGGTGGTCTCCTCAAGGTACCACTGGCATGGATCCGAGTCCAAGTAACAGTAGTGCCAGTAGTCGTCCCAGGCCAGGTCACTCGGGCTAACACCTCACCATCCAAACGGATAAGTATGGTGAACGAAGGTGTTAACTTACTCTTTATACTTGTAATTTTGTTCATAACTGTAACGACCTGAAATAGATAAATTTCGAGCAATTAGCCTCTCTCAGGATGACAAATATCTGCCACTTTTGGGTGGCATCTAATTCTTGTTAACCAATGCTGCCAATGCAGACAATTAAAACAATGTGAAAAGCAATTTCTCAAAATGAACTAACCATTTACAAAGAAAATTTACCATCATTTGTCCAAAAAAATTATAAAAAGTCCATGTGGACTTATCTTGCAGACTTCGGCAGAAAATCCACCCAAAAATGGCGGTGTGAGAAAGGCTAATTAGGTCTGATTTTGCAGTTTTGTTTATACTGTATCTTTCAGGTAGTAAGTTACAACCAAAGCACTTGTCTTGTCAAGGGTTAGTTATATATGGGTTGAGCAACCCATCCTGATTCCCATGCCTTGTGTTGAACAGTTAAGGTGGCTCCCTACAGTTATTAGTCGAATTTGAAGTTGATTTAGTCAGACGTCATTCTCGCGTCGTGTGCGTGCAAAATGTGTGGCCTTTTTGACACAAGCCGGCGAAATCATTTTCGAGTGTTTATCTTGAAAAGGACAACACCACTATTTTTTCAATCATACGTAGTTGACATTATAAAGTATGTATGTTGTTAACCAGTTTTTAAACTTTTTTTAGTATATTTTTCACGTTTTAACGTTTTACGTTTTTTTTTAAATGTTCAAAATCTTCGACTTGTCGAAAATCGATACTACAGTGAAATATAAATATTATTGTAGTACTTCATTTTTTGAAAGGCTGGACTACAAATAACTAGTATGTCACTGAAATATTTATTTGTGTAATAGTTAATATCAATAGTTACTAGCTCTTCGCATTCAACTTGACTCGTCAGTGTTTTATTAATTATACTGATAAAAGTTGATCCTTCATGAAACAAATCTTAAGTGAAAAAAGTTTTATAAAATCTTGAATGGTCTGATTTCACAACAACTCAGAGACTACAACTCAACAAGTGAAAAAAATAGGGCAAAATAGTTTTTTCATTCTTACCGTTTGAGATATACTGTATTTTCTGTTTTCAATAATCCCAAACAAATCACATATATTGTGGAAGTCAAAATGAAAACAATTGTCAATCCACCACGCGTTTACAGACAGAAAGTACACAAAATATTACTCCCATGCGTGGAAATATTCTCGCGGGAAATAACTGTATTTTTCTCGTGTTTCATTCGGTGAAAACTTTTTAAACTTTGTACACTGTACATCAATCATAAAATGCATAAAATATGCGAGTTTAAAAAAATCGTAGGAGCTGATATTTTTTATTTTGAAAAAAACCCGGTTTTTCGAGAATAAAAAAATTGGCTTCTACAAAACTCTTATTTGAAGTAACTGTACATTATCTTCGTATGTACAGAAAATAAAAACGTTTCACTGAAGGAAATTTAAAAAATCAAAGAAAGAATGCAAAAATACGATATTTTTGAAATTAACTTGATGGCAACGAGAACATTCAAAGACATTTTTATAATTTTATTTTTCGTAATCCTTAGTATTTACGCAATGTTGTGTGCGAGTTTCGTGATCATATCTTGCAAACTGAGGAAATAATGGATCTTAAAGCACAGTTGTGCGCTACAGTATAACGTTAAAACTGTAGGGACTAGGGAGCCACCTTAAGCTACAATGCACTCTACTTTGCCATGCAAATCTGCAAGGACTTAGTGGTTTCTTCTTTCTCTTTTGCAGAAAGTGACACTGCTGATGTTGATGGTCATAAAGTTATCCGAGCGTTTCATGCAAACCTATCAGATAACAAGAGAAGACGAAAGAATGACTGGCCAAAAGATCGTGGAGAATATTGCCATTTAGTTGTGTATAAAGAAAACAAAGACACCATGCAAGTCATCAATTTACTTGCAAAATGTTTGAAAATCAAGCCAGATAGATTTTCCTACGCTGGAACTAAAGATGGCAGAGCTATCACTGTACAAAGTGTTTCAGTTTTTCGCATTGACGCTCGTCATCTTCAAGGTCTGAACAAAGTACTAAATAACATCCGTGTTGGAAATTTTGAATTCAAGAAGACGCCGTTGAAACTTGGTGATCTGAAAGGAAATACATTTGTTGTTGTGTTAAGAAATGTTGGTGCAAGTGATGAGCTGATCACGACTGCAATGTCTTCGCTGAAAAATATTGGCTTTATTAATTATTATGGTTTGCAAAGATTTGGGTCAAGTAAAAATGCTACTCATGCAATGGGTATGATGTAACTGAGTTATCTAACCTTATATCTGTCTACAATAGTCTGTCTTGGTTTGAAGCATTTTTTATCTTTAATCGCACGAACCATTGTAGGTTTAATGGCACGAACTATTGTAGCTTGTTAAGGGGAGACTTTTTTGTATGTTACGTAACACGCGCTCAAAACCAACGAGCATAATATACAACTTGCGGTTATGACTGCATTCAAAATTTTTATTTTTCGATACGTTTCTCAATCGGCACACAAACTTAAAAAGTATATTTAATGCTTTATCCCCGAGCCGGCGGCGCGAAGCGCCGTGCGAGAGTACTAATTCCCCCCGGCTATTTACTCCCGGGGAAACGAAAGCATTAGCGGAGTCTAAAGTTCATCAAATATCGCGGGCGTGGGTGACCAACCGTGGGTGGTCATCTTCACTGATCTCAAATATATGACGGACTGTCATGAATAGCGGACACTGATTGGTCCAATTTAAAATTTGCATTATAAGGATTATAACGACTGCATGACGACAGCGAAATAGCAAACATTTCTTGATTTGATGATTGATGAATTTTTTGTTCGCATTTTTGCAAGATTTTGTAAATTTCAAAAGTTTTCTCATAAAGAAAGGGCGAAAAGAATCGGCTAAAGGAAGGGAGCCGACGTTAACGAAGGTAAGTTTGTTTTAAATATTGATTTTATAATGGTTTCAAACCCGACGGCCTTTGCGTATATGAAACAACTAAACAAGACAGCATATAATTTCAGTGTATCTTTAATATTGATTCCCTTTTTTATTATATTGAATTTTTTAAATAAAAAAGAAAGCAAAGTTATTTGCAAGCGAGAATTTGAAATCATTTTATTGCAAACTCAAAGTTTATCGATAAAGCCATTTAATTATAAAAGGCTGTTTAGTTTTATAAAGAACACTTTAAAACCTTTTTTCGAAGCGTTTGTGGTTGAATTTTATCTTAAATTGAAGCCTATATTACGTATAATAACATACCTAACATATATATGTTGGGAAATTGATAACTTTGTAATTAAAAGTGATATTTTTAGGAGATTTGTAAGAATATTCTTAAAAAATTATCGTGTTACCATGACAACTGCTCTAGATACTTCATGTTCGGAAAATACAATGGTTTTGTCAGCAAGGCGAGGGTTTCTGCATGCATGTATTTTCTAGTCTGTAAAATAATGCTAAAATGAAGAGATTTTAGATGGTACACAAAGAGAAAATTATGTCTGAAGTCCAGTAAGTTTTGTGTCAATTTCACAGCATCATTCATAATAGTATTTTAATTGACAAATTTTTCCTATTAGTTTATGTTTCTCAACCGGCAAATGGATTTAAAATGGTAGCTAACTGCATAACCTAGAGAATAAAAGAACGCACACTGTTACCCCGCATTCAATATTTTAATGTGAAACTTTTTTTCTTACGTAGGTTTATGTCTACTGAAGAGTGAGTGGTCTGAAGCTATTGATCTCATCCTTGGATCACGATGTGAGCAAGATGATGTGTTAAGCAAAGCATACGAACATTGGACAAAGACAAGAAATCCAAAAGAATCTCTGGAGATGCTAGAGGGAAAGAAGTGTTTGGAAACATTTCTTCTTGAAGGACTATCGAAAAGCGGCAAAGATCTTGTCGCGGCTTTGAAAGTTTTACCTCGAAACACAAGATTGATGTTCGTTCATGCATATCAGAGTTACATTTGGAATGTTGTTGTGTCAAGACGAATCAAGGTTTGTCACTTAAACATTTATCAATGAAATTATTTTCCAACTACACAAGTGGTGGCTCTATACTGGTGCAGTAGTCAGAGTAGCCTTTCGCACTGATCAGTGTTGATTATGACAATTTCACTTGGGTTTCACAAATGTCCGATCAACTGTGCAGTTGCTCGTACATTGGCTGATAATGGTCGACCAGCTTTTCAATATTTACGTTTAATTGACGAGCTATCAATATGATAGCTCGTGCTGATCACTTCCCGCATGATCAATCACATTACGTAATTTTTGGTAAGCGAACCCAAAGATCCGTGCAACTGAAACAACTGAAAAGTTCTTGGCTTCATGGATATTGTTCTGGAATTTTCTGCGTGTCTGTTACAAAAATCTGGTAATGTGATTTTGTTGCTTGTCACAGCGAAGCCAAGAAAATGTTTGACAGTGCTCATGGAAAATGTCCGGCAGCGCCAGCAGCACCACTGCCAGGAAATTTTTCACAAAATATTTTCGCAGGAAATGTTCTTACACCTTGCAGGAAATTTTTGTTATATATACTGGAATGCCATACAATTCACTTACTGTTTAAAAATTCCAAAAGCATTTTGCAAGTCGAGATTGACGTTTATCACAATGTGCGGCTGCATACGTTCTCTGAAATCTACATATGCAGGAAGTTTTATATTTGACTTTAATAAACAGGAAATTTTTATTTTTGAATTTTGCTGCCAGGAAGAGAAATATATTTCTAGGCCTGATGTCTTGTGTTCCTTCTCTCGCTTTTATGCTTTATGAACAGTTATAATCAAATAATACAGTATCAAATTTTGTTTAATCGGCCAAAATGTCCGTGCAGAATAAAGTTAATCGGTTATGTAGTGTTTTTGTAGGGCAAATAGCCGATTGCCGACCGTGATAATCCACACTGCATCTGATCGATATATGAAACGAGTCAGTCAACACTCTACCGAAAGTCTTGGGTTTTCTCTGGGTACTTTGGTGTCCTCCAGATAATGTAGAGTACACACCCACTTACTTACATACCAATATTACTCTGCAGGAATTGGGTCTTGAGCCTGTTGTTGGTGATCTGGTTTTTGATAAAACAAAATCAACCTCTTTATTAGGTAAGACTTACAGTAATGACACGTTCACACCAGTAAATAAAACTTGTCATATGAAAACTTGTCATATAAAATTTGTTGCATATCCACACGTGCACTTGGCAAATAAAACTTGTCACATAAAAACTTGTCATAGAAAACTTGCTCGTCTGTAACCAGCTTAAGGTGTACAGTAAGTAACAAGTTGACGATGTACATTCAGTTTATAAGACAGAGTCTATATACTGCATGTATATATTTGTCACAACCTTAGCGTTGAAATCTCAACGATAAAGAGACAAGGTACTGTACAAGGTAATGTTTAAATATAATTGAAATTTGACGGCATTGCAAGCCGCTCTTTCAAGCTAGATAACTCAGGAAAAGTCTATTGAAATAAATCGAACTTTGCTGTAATGTACCGCATGTTTTAACATTAACAAACACTCGTATTTAATACTGCATTTGGAGGGTAACTTTGTTTGGAGAAGGTTCTTCGAGGTGCGAGGTTTGAACCCCACCCCATCTGAACCATCGACCCAGTGTCTTTATCAAATGATCAGGGATGCGTCCAAGAGCTGTGGCCACGAATTGACCAGAATGGAGGTGGTGAGAGCAAACCATACGAGTATGACAAATAATGAGAATACCCAACGTGGAAGCACGGATGGCGAGATACCGAGACAAAGCTTGAACCAGGCAACTTGGAACAGAACAACCGTGGTGAAAGGGATCTGTTCTCGTGGTGAAAGGGATCTATTTTCGGAATAGTTAAAAATGAACAGCATATTTTAGTGAATGTTATCAAGGGCCAAGTGATGCGAGTGGAGAAAGGTACAGTACTGTACTGTGCTGTACCGACATTACCGGCACATAATACTCACTGACGCGTGGGAAGCAAAAAAAGCCGTACAACATGTCTCGGAGAGGATACGCTGCAGAATGCACTGTTTGGAGCTGGGAAGCCAGGCTACATGCGGAGAGGAGAGAGCGCGAATACTACGCAGCAAACGAGCTAGTCTTGTGCAGTTGTGGAACCACGAGTGGATTGATAGACAGTGCCCAGGTCGATATTGAGAGAGCAAAACGTTGCAATATACTTGGAGATGCATGTGTGCGCCAATCTTCGGGTGGAATGACCAAGTCGCTAATAACATGAGAAGCCATTCCAATGCTAGAAAGCACGAGAAACCGAAGGTGAACGTAAACTAAAATGCCATTTGACTGGTGGGTAATCAGCCCTGAGGTACCAACTGAGAGAGCAGGTCCAGGGGAGTAGGTTGAATAATTAAATGGCATCCAGGATGAAGTGGCGGAGTTTTCTGTAAACAGTGTAGACAATCACGACATTTTCTTGACCAAGTCCAATTGAATTGCTCTAGAAATAGCTATACTTTTTGCCAAGAGGGAGGCCAAGTCCACAAACTGAGCCAACGTGATAAGGGCCACCGTCTTGTAAAAGGAATGGTAAGAACCCATGGCCTACCACAAAGGATTCAAGCAACTGTGATATCCGAGCTGACCTGAGGACCCAAACAAACCTGTGTGCTGTCACGTGTTTGGTTGAAGCTGAGCAGCAGCTGATAAGTTTTCCTGATCTCCAGACAGTGTCTGTGCATGGTCCATCGTTTGTGGCGGCAGTACACGGGCGGAAATGGGCCGACAAAACAAGATGGAAATTGCTCAATATGGCTGGCGAGGACGAAGGTGTCGTTGTTGTTAACTGTGGAAGAATTATAGGCGGATAAAGGGCGCTAGAGACCAGCTGCTGGAGCACATTTGTTGTTTCAAACGAGCAGCCAGGCGTAAGAGAAGATCCCAATGCCGATTATGCTGACCACATCGTTGCTGTAGGCACATTAGTTACACAAGCAATGGAAGTAAATTATAAGAGCGAGGAAGCCACGACAGACGAATATGAACGTAGAGATTCGTTCGCCATAACTGTGATCGTCGCTATGGTAAGCGAGGTTACAACACTTGGAGATTCGCTGCTAATAGCAGAAACATGAAACTCGTAGTCTAAAGTGATTTAATGCAATTGATCGATAAGCTTGATGCATAATTGATTAAAAATAAATACTAAACAGTGCCTAATGTTACAGTAACTATTTTTGTTGCATAAAATCATTAAACTTTTATTTTTCAGATGATCAATTTATTTTAAATGAATGTGTGAAGCTTTTAACTTCAGAAGACATGAACTCATACACCATTCATGATGTGATCATGCCGTTGCCTGGTTATGACGTCACGTACCCACGACACGCGGCAAGAGCGTGGTATGAAGAACTGTTGTCACATGATGGTGTAGATATCAACAACATGCGACATAAAGTGAAAGATTACTCTCTTTCCGGAGCGTACAGGTATGTATGTTCAAGATTATTTTTATGTTGCAAATGATACTACTGTAAACCCTGCGGCAGTACTGGACACTTTGCAAAATATTGGGCGAATGTAGGTTGTCAACATATTTTTGTCCTCTTGTTGCTGCAAGTGTCGTTTCTTTTGAAGCAAAAATAATGCGAATTTGCTAAAATATACAGTAGTTTCTTTACGGCATGATGAGTTTTTCATGTTTGCTTTGTTACATAGTTTGTCAGCCATCATTCAGACTTTCAGAAATTATTGACCACCCACCCCCTTTTTAATTATGGTGTTTATTGTGAATTTTTGTACATTTGTCATTGTCGCTGGAGGCAAAGTTGGCAAGACTTTTTTGTAAAATTATGTTGCATTCTACTGCACGAACGAAACTTCAGCCTTGTAGTACAAACATTGATTTCACAAACCTATTGAATTGAAAAGATTCGTGAATTTTTTCATAATTGGTTTATTACATACAGTAACACGCTGAAATTTGCCTTTAATTGCATTTAATGTACTTTCTATTTAAGACATGTGATAGTGCGACCAGACCACTTGACATGGGAAACAGTGAGCTACGATGACCCGACAGTTTCATTGGTCCATACTGATTACGACCGTATGACGGCAGTTTCCGAGCCAGTGCCGGTGAGTGATGGGCAGTACCATGCACTTAAGATGAAGTTTGATCTGCCGTCATCTTCCTACGCTACAATGTTAGTACGTGAAATTCTCAAAACTGACACTTCACCAAGCTATCATTCCACTCTTAATAAGTACTAGTCGACCTTGCAAGTCGTTCGTTTTGGTTTATCTCTCTATCTTGAGTGTGAGAAATAAGTGTACAGTGGGTCTCAAAATAACTGCTCGGTTAAACTGTTGTCTAGGAGTTTTAGAGAAAATTTGTTTTATAAATAGGTTTGTAGGGTACTCCTATCAAAACTAGCACCCACGAAGCCCATTTTATACATTTGTTGATCTATAAACCAGAAGCAGTTGCCGAAAATTGCAACTATAGGCCCTATAGCAGGAGTCAAACCTGCGGTCCTGCGATTCCGGTGCAGCGCTCTAACCAATTGAGCTATTGATGTCATAGTTTTAAAAAAGTTTTTCAAGCTATATGAGACTACATAAAACTGATAAAAGAGACAAATACCGCGCATTTTTTGGCTGCCTGTGGTTTGAGCGTTGCACTGGAATCGCAGGTTCGATTCCTGCCAGAAGGCCAATAGTTACATTTATCGCAATTGCTCCTGGTTAGGTGTAATAATTATAAAATTGACACTCGAAATGGACCTATTACCTAATGAACAAAATTTTGATCTGGACAAGTCTAGCAAACATTTCATCACAAAATTAGTAATTAGTAACGTCGAAACGTTTCGTTGCAAAATGTTGTAAAATACGAATAATATAGCCCTGCGAAGTTTGCCGTTTTTCAGCCATTTAATTTGTATTACGCACGGGAAATTGATACCTCTTTCTGAAAAAGGTAGACTTGTCTAGATCAAAATTTTGTTCAATGGGTAATAGGTCCATTTCCATCAACAAAAACTCCTCAACAATTAGTTCTATCGAGTGAAATGCCCAAAATTTTGATATTTACCATAACCGTATTTACAACTTACTTTTTTAAACGGTTGAAGAACCATGCCTATCCACCGGATCGGCCCAGATCCACACATCATTTGAAACGGATTATATTTCGCTGTCATGATTGTAAGACTCGTCTCTTTTTCAAGTTTTTATAGTTGCGTTAAAAGCAGTAGTTGTTTGAGTAATTAAAGAAAACGTTATTGAAATACAGTAGTGACGATGAAGATATTTTCATGTTGAACTGGATATTTTATTTTCTACGTGTCAAAATGACCAGGTTATTTTGAGGCTGAAAATAATTCATGACGTTTTGTTTTATTTCCTGACCGTTATTTGTGTCTGTGCGTTTGTATTGCCATGCATACATGTTTCTGTTTATTTGATGAATTTCCATGTAAAATTATTTGATATGAATACCTAATATGCATGAAGTTGAAGGTATTATAGATGGAAATTATCGAGTGTAAATTTATATACATTTATTAGACCTAACCAGGAACAGCTGCGAAAACTATACGTCCTCTCGCAGGAATCGAACCTGAGGTCCTGCGATTCCGGTGCAGCGCTCTAACCAACTGACCTACAGAGTCCAGTTGTCGAGCTCTAACCACAAGTTTATGTACAGTGTGTATACTAGGGGACTGTCATGTTAACGTATAGGTACATATGCATGTTTTTCTTCTGAAATGATTTGTTCAGGCATGTATGAACAAATAATTTCAGATCGTATTTGTGTCTTTTTATGCAATTCCATGTATAAAACTATTTTATGTATCTCCATATAAATAGTGTGCATGTGCATGAAGTCAATTCTTCATCTATATGTGAACAAATCATTTCATATCTCGGTGTGCGTGTGAATATTGTATGTTGCCTCGTAGAGGCAGCAGTACAGTACTGCTCAGAAGTAACCTAATGCTGCGAACGCGTTCGGAACGCGTTCCAAGACGCTTTCGGAACACCTTCGAGAACGCGTTCCGAACACCTTCGAGAACGCGTTCGGAACACCTTCCTGGACGCGTTCGAAACACCTTCCTGGACGCGTTCGGAACACCTTCCTGGACGCGTTCGGAACACCTTCCTGAACGCGTGCCGAACGCGTTCTTGAATGCGTTCTGAAACTCGTGTTATTTCTCTTTGAAGCTTCGAGTTTCTTCGGAAAATTCCGAATACTATAAATGAAAACACAGTCAACTCAAATTCGTCTAGCTCGCATTATCCGACCAATACAAAAGCCCAAGAAAAGGAAATATATTTGGTCTTCTCGAACGCGTTCAGAACGCGTTTTTCATTAGGTTACTTCTGAGCAGTACTGTATGTTGCCTCGTAGAGGCAGCATACTAATTTCATCGGTCCCAGGCGTCCGCGACGTATGTGGTGGAAAATTCGAGATTTTCGAATTCCGTGCTTGTTTGTTCACAGCAGAACAATGGATTGATGACGTTTTGTGACGTATTTCCGCTTTCTCGTGTTTTCGTGGGGCAATCGTGATAATGCTTCGTAAACCGCAAAAGCAAATATACTGTAATATTGTTTTCGCAGAAATTCACAACAGTTTATTACAGTATGTTTGTTAAAATTCATGAATGAAGGAGATGGTGTCGTTTCAAGATAATTAAATGGGAAATATTATGTTGTGTGCATGTAGATTGTGAACTGAACTGTAGATGTTTGTTTCTTGTTTCAAAATAGAACCTTCGCCTTGTCTACCTTTTCAGGCAGGCAAACGTTCTGGAGAACTTCGTGATTATTAATTTAATTTTTAATTTATCTAACTTTGCATGTAACCAAAAAACATCAAATTAATTATATATATAAATCAAAGAAGGATTTCCGCAACAGCTACGTACGGCCGCGGATCTTTCTTAACAATATTCGATAAGTTATACTTTAAAGTATACTTATAATATGTTCCGTTTAGTAAATAATAACAAAAAACGTAATATTAATAAGTACTAGTTACAACATGAGCGGCCGATCTTTATTTGATATTTCAAACACTCATTAATCATTCATAAGCTTATTGGCAAATCATGTCAACCATAATTTGTCACGTGCAGTGGCTTTAAACCTGATTAAAACACTCATAATTAGTATTCTTTATATAAAGAATACTATAATAAGGCAGTATCTATTGTAGTCGTATCCTCAATAGTATTCTTTATATAAAGACTACTAATTCGGTTGAAGCCGTTTAATAAACTCGCAGGTCGTGTTTTATTAGGTCTAAAGCCACTCGCGCTGCGCGCTCGTGGCTTTAAACATAATAAAACACTCCTGCTCGTTTATTAAACAGTACATAATAGCCTGCGAACAGGCTCTCAAGCTGAATTGAGAGCCTGCATCGATGACTAATGAATTTGAATATCTGCGTCTCAAATCGTGACGCGAAATTCTCATTGGTCAGATGCTATAATTTATATGTTTCCGCTTAGCTCTATATATGGGAAATATATTTGGTCTTCAACAAACATGGCAAAATAACAAGTTGAAAATCTA